CTCCTGCTAATACATCCCAGAATGATGTTTGCTTTTTTTGCAACAGCATTACACTGTTGACTCATATTTAGCTTGTGATCCACTATGACCCTCAGATCCCTTTCCGCAGTACTCCTTCCTAGGCGGTCATTTCCCATTTTGTATGTGTGCAACTGATTGTTCCTTCCTAAGTGGAGTACTTTGCATTTGTCCTTATTGCATTTCATCCTATTTACTTCAGACCATTTCTCTGGTTTGTCCAGATCATTTTGAATTATTATCCTATCCTCCAAAGGACTTGCAACCCCTCCCTACTTGGTATCATCTGCAAACTTTATAAGTGTACTCTCTATGCCATTATCTAAATCACTGATGAAGATATTGAACAGAACCGGACCCAGAACCGATGCCTGTGGGATCCCACTCATTATGCCCTTTCAGCATGACTGTGATCCACTGATAACTACTCTCTAGGAACAATTTTCCAACCAGTTATGCACCCACCTTATAGTAGCTCCATCTAGGTTGTATCTAGTTGCACTTCTTAGTTTGTGATGTATTAATACAATCCTGTTAAAATTGTGCACCCCTTCGTATGCAAATTACTATAAAAATTGCTGCATATTGTTTGTAAAGATTAAAGACTCCTAGCAGAAGTGGATTCAGAGAAACCCTTTTTCTTTCATATAGTCCAGAAAGCTCTCAAATGTGTATATATATTGTTTTTTATCCAGCATCTTGAAAGTAAAACTTCAACTATATGAAGTTAAACACTTTTCTTTTTTACAATCCATGTTTAATCCACTAGTCTCAGGAAGCAGCAAAGTGGTAAGTGATTGAAATGCATATTTAATATGAGAGTGGGGCCTGCCAATAATGCAAGATCTGGATTTCACTCTGAGTTTGTTTCTGTTACATGAAGTATATTGTGGAACATATAGTGCAAGCAGCAATGGGTATAAATGGCCAGTTTGTATGGCATATATAAGACATGACCAGTTCCATGCTACTCTTAATGAAGTGGTACAGCTGTATCATCTTGCACTGTGGATAGTAGGAGTTAAGTGCGCTAAATCATTACTATGATGAGAGTGATCTCCAGGGAAAAAAACGTTGCTGCAAAAATTGTTTTGGTGATTCAGTACAGTAGGTGGCGCTTGTTCCCTGAAGCATATGGAACCAATGTTCCAACATGGTGTTATAGGGCTCTGTGCTGCTGAGTGTGTCATTGTTCAGATGCAACATAAAACCCAGGTCCTGATGGCTAATAATAACCTCAAAATGTTTGTAAGCATAAAGGTGTGAATCCCACGGGCCTGTATAGGTAATTATGTACCATTTACCATAATTCTTCCTCCCATTTCAGTTTCATACACTGTCGTTCACGTCCTGTCCTTACCAGCTGAGCAGTGTAGCTGTGTGCTGGTGCACTTCACCCTTGTGGTGGCTGCAGTCCTGCAGTAGTTAAAGTGACTCGTGTACATGTAAACTACTCTGGGATGAGGTATCAGTGAAGTGTAAAGTAGTAATTATTAGTGGTAACCATATGATTATGGGCACACACTGTTTTTCCTGTTCTTGTATAAATGATGCTGCAGTATGTCAGCTGAATCCTGAGACGTGCACTACATCCTACTATGTGGGGGTTAAATACAGTGTACTGTACATCTCTATTGGAAATGTAACTAGAATAAAACATATGGTGCGAGACAGTGCCTGCAGGAGATCCACAGGAATAAACTGTGATTCTGTCCAAATATAACTTCTCAGCAATTTTTCTGTCCGTGACTTTAAATCATGAATAGATTAGAAGCTATTTTTAGATAACAATAACATTGCCTTTACTTTTAGGACAGGTAAAGAATCTGCTTTATTTTAAAGTATTGGGCAACTTTCAGTTTGATTAGTCAAAAACACCACCCACCCGCATCAATTGACAGGACCAGCAGTGAAAGGGGGACAGTCCCAGTAGCAAGGAAGGGAGGAACTTGCCAAGGCACAATATGTAGCTCCTCCCATGGGAGTCTTTGGCACCCATTGGCCAGCTCAAGGAGAGGGATGCTTATTGGCCAGCATTCCCCACCTACCAGAATTTAGTCCAGTGCAGGGGCCATGTGGAGCCTTATTCGGTTCTATTCCAGCAGCCCACCCTACCCACCCAAACTAGGAATGCGAACCCAGCCTGACAGATGCTTCAGGTCTAGCCAATCTACAAATTAGGGGGTCAGGAAGGAATTTTTTCTCCCATGAGCCATTTGGCAGAAGACCAGTGAGATTTTTGCCTTCCTCGCAGCACTTTCAAGCCACCATGGGTTAAGTAGGATCATGCTTACAACCTAAATGAGGTACTTGGGTGTAGTTGTTTATCCATCTCAACTTGTGGCCGGTTTCCAGTGTGGGTAAGAGAATAAAATGAACAGTTCCCAGAGGTAAAAGACGTGTGATTTTGGTGATGGGCCTTGGGCTCATGTGATAGGGTGAGACCTTGTGGCCTTTGTGGGCTGCAGTCCCCACCCTGCTGCACCCTCTATCCCCTTCACAGAGGGAAGGTGCTAGGACTCAGAGAGAGAGCTGAGTCTTGGGGGGTAGACTGAGGAGAGCCACCTCATGTTATGGGTCATATGGTAATGTGGCTGTGGATGGGAGTGGAGGCCCAAAAGAGATGAATTGTCATTATCGTGCTATACTAAGCACCCAGATCTGAAGGTATTTCCCACCATCATCACCCATGGATACACCTTCAACATCAAAGCTTTTTGGAAGGAGACATGCTTTAAATTTGCTTCTTTTTTCTGGTCTCCTTGAGTTTTTGCAAGTCAGTCTATGAAAGAATAAGACAATATTAGATTAAATTAAACTGGTTTGTGTAGCAGGGCTAGCAGATGGGCAGATGCATACATAAGAACAAGGATACCCTACATCTTCTTCCCCACGTGGTGCACAGTGACCACAGAGCAGCTCCAAAGAGGCTATTACAACTCAACAGTGGGAGTGAGTTCCCTAGCTCTGTACGAAGGCCCTTCCCTGCAAAAAATGATGGGAGGATGTGTGCAATCATAAATCCTCTAGCCCCGTCAGTGTAGCATTATTGGCTACAACTATAAATGCTCAAAAGTCAGGAGATGAAAAAAGTGAGGGTTCATAGTAATGTTAACTGAACAGTGTTAATTGTTCATGTGTTGTATTTTGTATCCCTGTGTTGCTCTTTTAATGTGTATGCTAATAAGTGAATGTGTGTGTAGTTAAATGTCTACCATAAGGAAAGGAAGATGGATGCTACAGTGTGTTGGCCACTAACCTCGGTAATCTGGAGACCCAGATTCAATACCCTGCTCTACCACAGATTTAGTCTCTGTGCCTCAGTTCCCCATCTGTACAATAGGGATAATAGAACTTCTCTACCACTCAGATGGTGTTGTGTTGGGGACCAGTGATGGATGTCATAATACATACAGGCTGTGCAAAGAGGGCACATTGAGATTACTATAAGGGCCGTCACTTTTTTATATTTTAACTTTGGGGTGTTTAAATTTGTAACCTAGTGTTATTTCATCCAAATGTTGTATAATTCATTAATTTTGTGCTAGATGGAGCCTTTAGTCAAAATTCGGGGGGTGGGGGGATCACTGAAAACCAAACCAATATTTTTCAAAGTTCAATAGCCAAAGCCTTCCAGTTTTTGACAATCAAAAACCAAAAACAATTTTGTTTTGGTCTTTAACGATAAATTATGAAAAAAGTCCTTCCATTTTTTTTCATACAAAATAAAATACATTTTGACCAGCTTCGTTGCCTTTGTGTTATGAACATTCTGACTGGGTCAGGGAAGTCTTGTTTTGAAATCAGATTAAATGGCTGCCTAAATGCTTGAGTCTATATCAGCCAAATAGGTAGTTTTACTGAATTGCATGAAGATAACTAAGAGGTGTCTTTTCATATTTTTCTTCACAGGTGACCTCATGCATTTGCCACCGTATCTTAGAATGGACTTTTTGTTGAACCGAGGAGTTTCAGGCACAAGCAGAGACCTGGGTTTGGGCCAAGCCTGCTTGGAACCTCAGAAAAGCCGAACCTTGAAGCGTCCCACAGTTCTGGAGCCGATACCTATGGAAACATCCTCCACGAGAGAAGTACAGTCATGGCAACCTGGTGCCGTGGCAACATTACCTCAGCGAGAAGGGGCTGAGCTAGGACAGGCAGCTAAAATGAGCAGCTCCCAAGAATCCCTGCTGGACTCCCGGGGCCACTTGAAAGGAAACAATCCCTACGCAAAATCTTACACCCTGGTATAACAAAAAGAGCATGGCCGGACAGTGGCTGTAAATACTTACAATTAAAAAAACCAATCAAAGCTACCTTTTTTATTGAATTCCAATATTTATAATTAAAGAAGATTGCCAAAATATTTGAAAAAAATGCAAACTACAGACAGTGCAAAGACTCTCCTGCTTTTTTTCTGTCTGAGTGTGAGCTTCATCTGACTGGACATCTGAATTTTTGGGTAAAAGAAGTCCAGTTTTCTGATCTTCACAAGCTTTTGTGTTTTTACTGATTTTCTACAAAGTGCATGGGGACTAAATAAAACATTTTAACTGGAAGTTCCATCACACAAGATTAAAAAGAAGGAAAACAAATCACCCTATTTGTGAATTTAACAGGGACATTGATCTGGGAAATCAAAAAGTCTTTTGTCATGTTTGCACACTTTTTTTTTAATTAGAAAATGGGTCCTTGATCGATCTTTTTGTTTTGTTGTTAATTAGGATGAGTGCTGTCAGTGGAGTGTGGGGGGGATCAATTTGCTTTTGGTTTTTCTTTTTTTCTTTTTTTTTTAATAATTTAATGAGACACTCTTTGCATTTTGTCTATGCGAAATAAAAGGGTCTTCTGCCTTTATTTGTGATCTTTGCTTGCATCGCTTTCTGCTGTGCTTGGTTTTCTTTATGTCCAGTAACTATTTCAGCACTTCTCCCTGTATACTTTACACAGGCAAAACCTTCATTGACTTTGCTGTTTGGATATCTTTTCATAAAAAGAGATGACCTGGTTCAAACAGGAATGAATTCAAGGAAGTCCTATGGCCTGTGCCTTAGAATCCCTTCTGGCCTTAGAATCTATGAATCTTTGATTTGGAATGGAGTTTGGCCTATGTAAGGAGAGCAGGGACATGCCTTTAAAATTTATTGGGGTTTGCTCAGACAGAGATCCCTTGCTAATGGGGTAAAGGGCAAGACTGTTGCAAAGGAATGAGGTGCTTGGAACAAAACCAGCATTGGACCTTCTGTGTACTCTTTAGACCTGATCCAAAACCCATTTAAGTCTATGGGAGTCTTTCTATTGATTTCAATAGGTTTTCAATCAAGCCCTTTATTAGCATTTTGAAAATGTAACAAGAAGTGTTTTGGTGTTACTTTGCTAGGTATCTAGGGGTAAATCTTTAGTCCTTTATGTAGGCATCATTTCCATTGGCTTCACTGTTATGTTGTCTACTTCAAGACTGAATAGTCAAGCTTCTCCCTATGACAGGACAAGGTGGGTCTTTCCAACCATCCAGAAAAATCTTTGTACGCATTACTTCCTAAGCAATTATAAGAAATGTGCTTTCTATCAACCTGTCTTTTCTTTTTAAGAAGACAAAGACCTCTTTTTATGAAGGACTTCCCCACTCACGGATCTTCATTGCACCTTTTGCTTACATGAAAATATTGTTTATTTTGCAGAAAATAGAAAGTATTAAACCAATGCAGTTTGTGGGTTTAACACAACAAAAAAATAACCTTAGTAATCTCTAAGCTCCTATTTCTGTGTTCTAGTCTTTCTCTCTTTGACAAAATATCCATAACAATGGGGTAGCATACTGTATGTCTTATTTTATTATGTATTTGTAAAGACCCTGAGCATAGTATTTGAGCACATGCTATTGAAGTCAATGGGACTTAGACATGTGCTTACATGCTTCATTACATCAGGGCCTAAGCACTAATAATCTGGTTGGTACTGCAGAAGGGACAAAATGGAGATGGCCAAAGGCCTTTTCAGCTGGCAGGCCAATAGAGAAATAGAGGGTGATAACTAGGCTATGTTTATGTCTCCGAGGTCATGGAAGTTACGGAATCCCTGACATCCAGAGACCTCAGTGACATTCTTTTCTTCAGCCCCTGGGGCTGTGGGACTGGCGCTGGCAGCCAGTGGGGCCCTGGCAGGGTTCCAGTGACAGGCAACAGCATTGACAGCGACAAGGGGCTCCCTGAAAGGTTCCAGCGACAGGTGACAGACTCCTGAGGGGGCCCTCCTCAGAGTTACAGTGACGGGGGGGGGAGCGGGATGCTGCGGGCAAGCAGCTGGGGGTGTCCCATTTTTTCTTTGGGAAATATGGTCACTCTGCAGCTTCCAGCTGCTGCGGACAGAGGGGGAACCCCACAGCTCCCAGCCACCATGGTGGCGGGAAACCATGAAGCCGCAGCAGTAAAAGTCACAGACAGGTCACAGCTTCCATGAATTTTTGTTTATTACCCATGACCTGTCTGTGACTTTTACTAAAAATAACCATGACAAAATCTTAGTCTTAGTGATGACCATTTCCCCATGTAGGCCACTAACCTCAGCAACCTGATACTACAGCTGGTCAAAACCCAGGGATTTTTTCCAGCAAAAATGTCCAAATTATAAATTTACACTAAAAAAAAAAAATTCAATTTTTCACATGAAAGTTCACTTAGAACTTGCCTATGAAAAATGGAAACATTTTTAGTGTAAACTTGTCACTTGAATTTTTTTTCATTTTGGTTCAAATAGAAATTGCCGTTTTGTTTGGGTTTTTCATAATCAACATTTTCATCTTCTGAAAATCAAATGAAAAATCCCAGCACACACTGCAATGCTATGCTGGATCAGAAACAGAGTACTCAGCACCCCACAAGACTGAGTCCTTACTGCTCTGTGACCCTTACGCACTTTCTCCTTTATTATTAAGAGAAAAACACACACCTGTCAAAATGTCTCTTAAAGAATTAATCGATTTACATAAAAACATGTGAATGACCCAGGGAAGGAACCTGGGCTTGAATGTATTGCAACGGACTTAGAAATGCCTGGTTGAAATTGCTTTCTTGTGGTGCATACAGTAACTGTGAATCGTTGACAGTGCCCAGGGTTGGGGGCAAAGTCTCCATTTTAGCTTTTATTATTTTAACCCCACAAAATAGAAATGGAGCAGCCACCCCAATTAAACTACATGTAGATCATGTAGAAACATGTCTAACATTCTTACATGTTTCACAAAAATAACAAGCTATGGGAGGGAATTGATACCCAGGATCCAGGCAAAGAGAATCCGGGCTGCGTGCAGGTTTCCCCTTTCCTACACTGGTGTGGGCGTGTCAACTGCCTCCAACATGTGCCCTTCATAGATCTACATAGAGAGAGATGGCCAGGAGGACACACATTGCAACCAGTGGTAATTCTACTAAAAGCTAATGTAACCTGAGTCTGCATTAACTCTTGTATGGAGCCCACTCCTTATTGTGAAACATTTATAATGAGGCGGGGAGAGTTCTAGAGGTAGTTGTGTAGGAGCTAAGCCTAAATAGTGGATCTTGGTGCTAGAGACCCAGGGCCTAAGTAATGGGGCAGGCAATCCCTGAGCCTCTGTGTAGACACAGGCCCTCCGTTGGATTCCCCACACTCAATGTGGAGATTGACAGCTTCTGGGGGGATAAACCCTACCACATGTGCTACAGCTTTGGGAGTGGAATAGAGGTGAAACCCCATCCACCAGATAAAACAAACTGTAGGAAACTAGATAAGGACAATCTCAGTGAGGATTCTTCCTCCATTGCCACTGTCCCCAGGGTTCTTTGCACAGATTTTTCTGCAGGAGATGGTGATTCCGCTGCAACTGCTATTTGGAGATGACATTTCAATAGTGACTGAGAGATGATAGGTAAAGAGCAGATAGGCCATGTAAGGCCATGAAAGTGAGGACAAGCTGCTTATGTTTGATGGAATACAGAAGATGGAGCCAGTGGAGGTCTATAGAGAGGGATGGCCTGGTCAGTGACAGGTGAGGAAAATGATCTTTGCAGCAGTATTCGGAATGGATATGAGTGTGGCATAGCCTTAGTATATTTACTGAGGCCAGATTAAAGGATGATACAATAAGCAAGATGCGAGATAGTGAGAGCCTGGCTGAGTGTTCGAGCAACATGGATGGATAGGAAACACCACATCTCAGAGATGGTATACAGAAAGAATCTGCACCGTTTAGACATAGCTTGGATGTGAGGAGTTAGAGAGAGATCCAAATTGAAGATGACACCCATGTTACAGGCCTGAGTGACAGGCAGGATGGTGGTGTTGTCCATAGTGCTCAAAAAACAAGGTAGCAGGGAGAGTTTTCGGGGGAGGATTAAGAGCTCTGTTTTAGCCATGTTGAGCTTAAACTGAAGGCTAGACATCAACAAGGGGATGTCAGAGACATAAACTGAGATTTTTGTTTGGCCAGAAGACGACGGGTCTGTATATCTAGATATTATCTCATCACACCCTTTTTTACTTACATTTTGTCCCTCGTTTTGTTTGTGGTAAGTTGTGGGCTCCTTGCTGCAGGGACCATGTCTCATTCTGTATCTTTTAAAGGGCCATCTTCATTTACACTAACTGGTAGTCTCTGCAGAAAAGCCAAAGATTGCATGGACTTGGAGATTGAGAGTCAAGGATGTGGAGGTCTGTGTGGAAACTTGTACAACAGTTGACCATGCTTTAAATGATTTTGGATTAACACAGAATATATAAGAACATAAGAATGGCCATACTGGGTCAGTATGTCCAAAGGTCCATCTAGCCCAGTATCCTGTCTTCCCACAGTGGCCAATGCCAGATGCTCCAGAGGGAATGAACAGAACAGGTTATCATCAAGTGATCCATCCCCTGTCACCCATTCCCAGCTTCTGACAAACAGAGGCTAGGGACACCAACCCTGCCCATCCTGGCTAATAGCCATTGATGGACCTATCCTCCATGAACTTATCTAGTTCTTTTTTGGACCCTGTTATAGTCTTGGCCTTCGCAACATCCTCTGGCAAAGAGTTCCACAGGTTGACTGTGCACTGTGTGAAAAAATACTTCCTTTTGCTTGTTTTAAACCTGCTGCCTATTAATTTCATTTGGTGACCCCTAGTTCTTGTATTATGAAAAGGAGTAAATAGCACTTCCTTATTTACTTTCTCCACACCAATCATAATTTTACAGACCTCTATCATATCCCCCCTTACATAGGCGCCAACTTTCTCCAGCG